CGGGGTTTCACTGTGTTAGCCAGGATGGTCTTGATCTCCTGACCTCGTGATCCGCCTGTCTCGGCCTCCCAAAGTGCTGGGATTACAGGCGTGAGTCACCGTGCCCAGTCTTATTTTTTATTTTATTTATTTTATTTTTTTTGAGGAGGAGTCTCACTCTGTCACCAGGCTGGAGTGCAGTGGCGCAATCTTGGCTCACTGCAACCTCCACCTCCTGGGGTTCAAGCAATTCTCCTGCCTCAGCCTCCTGAGTAGCTGGGATTACAGGCGCCCGCCATCACGCCTGACTAATTTTTGTATTTTCAGTAGAGACGGGATTTCGCCATGTTGGCCAGGCTGGTCTTGAACTCCTGACTTCAGGTGATCCACCCGCCTCAGCCTCCCAAAGTGCTGCGGTTACAGGTGTGAGCCACCGCACCCGGCCCTCTTCTCTGTTTATTAATAGTCATTTATTTGTGTCACGATGGACTCATGAACTTTATGTTTTGGATTGTAATCCAGTGCTATCACTATGAGTTTGTTACTTGAACTGTTCCAGCTTTGGCGTCTGGCAACTCCTTCAGCTGGCCCGTGTCCCTCTGACATACCCTGTGTCTGTGCTCATGGCAGGGGGGGGTTTAGTGTAAGCACTTCCTCATTTTCAGATACTACACACTGCTGCAGGCTCAGCCTGCCTTTTCCCGTCCCAGCCTCAGAACTGGCCATTTCTCCAAGGAACCCTGGATCTTCTCCATAATCCAGTTGTCCTCACTATCCTGTTACCCTGCCATCCCTTCTAATTCAACCTAACATGCACCCACACCCAGAATTTGGTGTAAGATGGAAACCCAGGGGCAGCACAGGGCTGGGCGGGAAGGGCTTCAGGTGTCCTCTACCCAGGAGGGGACTTGCTCTTGCTTTGCAGAACTGATGATTGAGACCAGGGGCAAAGCAGATGCAATCCCTTCCCAAGAGCACCCCCTGGCCTCTGCACCACCAGGGAGGCCACGGGGTGCCCAGGACAGGCGCGCTCCCAGGAACTTGTCTGGGGCTGGTCAGACCCTTGGCCACAGGCGTTTGTCAGGAGGACAAGGGCACTCACTGGTGTCACTCCGGTGTGTGTCGGTGCTCTGCAGTCCAGACTCCTCCTCTAGGGTGGGGATGGGTGTGACCCAGCTGTATGTGGGCGGGGACCCTCCTGTGTGAGCCTCGCCTTCACCCAACTTCCACGGTTCCTGGTGCTACCCACTTCTGAGCCTTCATGTACCCAGATGCAAACCCTGGTACGTCTCGCCTGCGTGGCTGCCCCGAGATGCAAACCCCAGTACGTCTCGCCTGCGTGGCTGCCCCGAGATGCAAACCCCGGTACGTCGTGCCTGCGTGGCTGCCCCGAGATGCAAACCCCGGTACGTGTCGCCTGCGTGGCTGCCCCGAGATGCAAACCCCGGTACGTCGCGCCTGCGTGGCTGCCCCGAGATGCAAACCCCGGTACGTCGCGCCTGCGTGGCTGCCCCGAGATGCAAACCCCAGTACGTGGCGACTGCGTGGCTGCCCCGAGATGCAAACCCCGGTACGTGGCGCCTGCGTGGCTGCCCCGAGATGCAAACCCCGGTACGTGGCGCCTGCGTGGCTGCCCCGAGATGCAAACCCCGGTGTAGCTGCTGGCGCAGGGTGTTGTGTGTGTTAGGAGTGTGTGCAGCTGTGCTTTCTGGGCTACACCTTTGCCATCTGCCTTTCCTGTTGTTTTGCTGACCAGAGCATAGTAAGTTCCATTGTCCACCTCTAACCCTGGAGTCCAGATGGCTCTACCTACAGTTGTTTTCTCCTTTCAGAGTAACACTTGCATGTTTTGTTCATAATTATTGAAAGCAAATTATGTTTTAATTCTATTGAATTTCAAAACTACAGACATGCAAAGAGAAGAAAATAAAGAGCTGCACAGCTTCACGCACAGCAGCACTGCCCTCCCGAAGCCTGGCCCCTCTTTCTTTCCTCCTTGCCCCAGTCTCTCACTGTCCATCAGACACACTCAGCTCTGCCCAGCGCTGGGGTCAGTCTTTCTGCCTTCTCTCCTTTCAGTATCAGGCTCGGGGGAGTCTACTCACATTTTTTGGAAGGACGAGCTATGCTACGTGGCAAAAGCGAAGGCTTCCCTCGGCTTCCTTGGCTCACATGCTGCTAGAAAGCACCACACACCAGGACCACGTTCACCCAGTTCACTCTGTGCCTGATGATGGGTCATGTACCCCAACGCCAGGGGTTCAGCAGGTGCCATAACCCGCAAGTCAGGCCCTGGCCTCTGTGGACATGTCACTGTGGCCCCATCAGCCTTCACTCCAGCTCTCTGCAGCCTGCCAGGGGCTCCCATACTTTCTGGAGGCCCCTGGGGGCCCCACTCCCAGAGGTACCTGGCCTTTCCTAGAACCTCTTCCAGGCCCTGTGTCCTGAGATTCAGATCTCTGCCTGTGACCTTCGTACAGCCCCATTCTGCTGATGACACATATTCTTCTTTCCCGGTCCCTAAACAAGGATGTCCAAAGTTCCGGTCTCTCCACTCCTCCATCTTCTCTATGCCCTTTCAGCTTTAACTTTCATCTCCACTGAGGCCCCGCGCCTGAAATCCAGCTGTTTTCTAGGCACTGCAACTGCAAAGATGGCCAGCCCTGCTGCTCCCAGGAGGTTCCGATGCAGGTGCTGGGGGTCCTGCCTCCTGGCCCTCTGCTCCTGAGGGACCCCAGACTGAGACTGTCATTGCACTGACCAGGGTCTTCCTGTACACCAGATGGGCAGAGGCCAAGCTGGGGAAGTCCCCAAGATGCCAGAGGCTTCTGTGCTGGGTTGACTGCAGGTTGCTGACCTGGGGCTGCAGGGGCCTCTGAGGGCCTGAGCAGCCCTGAGAACCACAAGGTTGCTGGTGGCCACTCCAAGAAGCTGCAGGAGACTGACAAGGTCCAGAACACGGTGGCACTGTCCCCAAGGGCTTAGGGCAGGTAGGCGGCTTGCTCACAAGAGGCAGTGACACTGGGCCCTGCTTGCTCCCTGAGGGCCTCGTGAGACCCCTATCTTGTGCCCCTCCACACCAGAGCACACAGAGGAGGCAGGATGTCCACACAGCTGTGCCTCAACCTCGGCCCCAGTGGACAGGTCCCACGGGAGGTGCTCCCTGGTGCTGACAGACGAGAAACGTACTTTAATTTGGAGCCCACTCAACTGTACTGTGCCAAGGCCAGGGGAGAACATTTCCTGGCTGCCCTGACCTTGCTCCCCAGAAGACGGTGCCCCACTGCGATGGCAGGCACGGAGGCCTCCCTGTGCAGGGCATCCCGCACAGCTCTCTGCGTGCAGGCTCCTTCCTGCCACCCACTTTTGAAAATGCCTAGGAGCTCTTCTTAGATAAGGCAAGTATCTTAGCTTTAAGAGCTGGAAGGAACACAAGCAAAAGAACCTGAAATCCCTTTATGAATATTTAAAGCAACTGTATTTCAGAATCTAAAAGTAGTACATGCTCAGTTTAAAGAAGCCACATGAGGTGGGGTTCAGGCCCATAATCCCAGCACTTTAAGAGGCTGAGGTGGCTCTGCTGAGAGTATGGGGAGGGAAAAAAAACGACAACCAAAAACCCCAACAACAGTAACAAAATGAGGCCAAGGTGGGAGAACTGCTTAAAGCTAAGAGTTCAAGACCAGCCTGGGCAACATAGCAAGACCTCATCTCTACCAAAAAGGAAAAGTTAGCCGGGTATGACAGGGCACACTTACAGCCCCAGTGACTTGGGGGCTGAGGCAGGAGGATTGCTTGAGCCCAGGAGTTCAAGTCTGCAGTGAGCCATGACAGAGCCACTGCACTCCAGCCAGGGCACAGAGCAAGACCCCATCTCAAAACAGACAGACAAACAAAAAACTGTATAAAACAACTTTCTCCACTCTCACTACCCAGACACACAAGAAGGACAGACAACTCTAGATTCCTCTGATTATAGGTATTTTAAGTTACCTGATGCTTTTTACTTTTACAGAACCGTTCCTTGCAAATGTATTTGTAAACACACACCAGGAATCCACAGCATGAGTTCCCAGATGGAGAAGTATGCGAGGCACTGTGCTGCTTTAATATTAGTTTGTGCCTCGGCTGGCACGGTGGCTCACGCCTGTAATCCCAGCACTTTGGGAGGGCGAGGTGAGAGGATTGCTTGAGCCCAGGAGTTCAAGACCAGCCTGGGCAACACAGCAAGAACCCCCATCGCTATTAAAAATAATGATGTTTTGGCTGGACACAGTGGCTCACACCTGTAATCCCAGCACTTTGGGAGGCCGAGGCAGGTGGATCACAGGAGTTCAAGACCATCCTGGCCCTGTCTCTTATACACATCTAGATGTGTATAAGAGACAGAAATTACGCAGGTGTGATGGCAGGTGCCTGTAGTCCCAGCTACTTGGGAGCCTGAGACAGAAGAATGACGTGAACCTGGGAGGCGGAGCTTGCAGTGAGTCGAGATTGCACCACTGCACTCCAGCCTGGGCGACAGAGCAAGACTCCATCAAAAAAAATAATAATTAAAAAATAAGTAAAAAAATAAAAAATAATTTTTCCCTTTATTTTTATATATATATATATTTTTTAATTAAATTGTTTTTGGAGATGGAGTCTCACTCTGTCATCCAGGTTAGAGTTCAGTGGCACAATCTCAGCTCACTGCAACCTCCGCCTCTGGGTTTAAGTGATTCTCATGCCTCGGCCTCCCAAGTAGCTGAGATTACAGGCGCGTGCCACCATGCCTGACTTTTTTTTGTTGTTGTTTAGTAGAGACAGGGTTTTACCTTGTTGGCCAGGCTGGTCTTGCACTCCTGACCTCAAGTGATCCACCCACCTCGGCCTCCCAAAGTGCTGGGATTACAGGCGTGAGCCACTGTGCCCTGCCTCCTTTATGATATATTTTAATATAGTATCGTTAATCTTCTTCCTTATTGTTTTCCCACTTTTTCTGACTCATCCAAGGCTATGTCTCCAGATGAATGTAAAAGGAATTTTGTCAAGTTCCCTTAAAAAAAGATTGGTATTTTATGCAAAAAAATTAGCTGGGTGTGGTGGCGGGCACCTGTAGTCCCAGCTACTTGAGAGGCTGAGGCAGAAGAATGATGTGAACCCGGGAGGCAGAGCTTGCAGTGGGCTGTAATCGCGCCACTGCACTCCAGCCTGGGGGAGAGAGCAAGACTCTGTCTCAAAAAAACAACCCCAAAAAACAAAAAAAAAAAAACACAAAAAAATTAGTGTTTGAAACAGACTAGATATATTGTAGACGTAGATTTAGAGAAACCAACACCCACACAGGGTCAGTCTTTGAACTGATTTCTTGTGGCTTTTTGGGGAGTTTTAAGGTCTTCACCACATAGCTTTTCCCCTTTTTCTAAAATTCAGGTTATTCCTAGCCACTGCAGCTTTCTGGGGCAGGCAGGCTGTCAGGGAACCTCTCCTACCTGGCCTGCAGCATTCTGGGATGGGCGGGCTGTTGGGAACCACCTACCTGGCCTGCAGGTTCTCGATCTCGATGCTCTTCTCCCTCTCCATCTTGCACAGGAGCTCCTTCTGCCGCCGGGTCTCTTCCAGGACCATCTCGCAGGCTCTCAGCTCCTGCTCCTTCAGCTGCTCCTCCAGGGCGTTTGCTCTTGAAAGGCAAAAGGAGGAGCTGAGCTGTCTCCAGGCAGGGTGTGCAGTGGCTCCACCCATGCCCAGAAGCTGCCTCAGGACCTCCAGGAAACCTGCCGCCACCTGGGAGGAGGGCTGAGAAGGGCATCCCCGAGCTCTGGTCAAGGCAGTTCTGAAGCAGCGCACACACCCCCAGATAGCCTCGCCTCCCACACTAAAGGCAGCTAGGGGTGGCCAGAGCAGTGTCCACTGCACCCCGGCCCAGCTGATACCCACTGGCACTGCCTGCTTGTGCTGTGTGGACTGCAGCACCCCGAGGGCCCGAGCCCGCCAGGTGACCGCCCCTGGTGCACTCTGTTCATGCAGCTGCTCCACCTGCGGCCGCTACACACAGTGAGTGAGCTCAGGGCCCAGAGGCACGGAGCCTCGGAGCCTCGGGAAGGAGCGTGAAGGTAGCAGGGTCCAAGGGCCACAGCATTTCCAGGAAGTGAGTCTGATGAAGCACATGGCCCGTGGCAGCTGAACACCGGGGAACTGAGTGTGCGGGCGGTGT